AAGGGCCCTACCCGATCCGAGACTGAATCGCCCGGGGTGGAAGCCGTCGAGCGACTGGGAGGCGCTGCGACTGAAACTGCGCGAGGCGCTCCAAACCTCGGCCGCCGAAGGCCGAAGTAAGTGAACACGATCAGGGACGCAAGCCTCGGCGGGAACGCGAGACGCACGCCGAAACTCGGCCAGCTCCTCGCCCTCGCGGCGGCTGAAGAGCCGGGTGCTACTCGGAAGATTCTAGGGTGGGTCTGGACGACCGCGGGGTTCCACTTCGCTTTCAACTTAGCGAGTCCACGCATCGCCTTAGCACCCCCTTCCAACGCTTGCTCCTGCCATTGGTCCCAACTATCCTGCTGCTGCTGCTCATCGATGGCCTTCTTGGCCGAGAGGAGGTCGCCCCCCCCGCGAGGTTGAACCCCCCCTGGCGCGCGCTGCACCACTCATCCAGAGAGCCGCCCGACGAGGGGAACCTGCTCGCCGGGGCGCGGGCCTGGCGCGACGCGGCGTCGAGGCGAACGCTGACGCCCTCGCCTGCACATGGGGGGCTGAGAAGCTGCTGGATCTGATGCTGGGCATCCTGGTTCAACTGCTCACGGGCCGCTGGATCAACAGAACCGTCAGGGCCCACGGCGGCTCGGGCAACCGCTGCGTTCGGCCTCTCAGAGGCCCCAATTGTTTCACCGAGGCGCTGAGCCAGCTAAATCCAACCGCGCTGCTCAGCTCGGTCCTCCTTGGCCCGCAGTTTGGCAGAAGGGGGGCCCACTTTGTTCTAGATAGCCTCCACGGAAGCCCTTGCAACGCACCTCCTCGCCAGCGAAGCTCTCGAGCTCCAGCTCGACGGTGTTGGCGAAGTAACGCCGCGCCACTGTGATAAGCTCCCGAGCCTGTGCAACGGGTGCTGAGAGGGCCGCCTCGGCCGCTGCTTCAGCCACTGCACGCGGCGCAGCCCAGTCCTGTGGCGTCGGCAGCGGCACGGCTGGCACTGAAGTGGGCATGCGCCGACGGGCTCGGCAGGTGAGCTGATAACAACGAAACGCATTAATCATGCCGTTCAAAAGGACAGGGCCTTCACCAGCCCTGGCCAGGATCGACCTGACCATAAAATTATCGATCGCCGTCAGGCTGGCGGGGGGAAGGCACGTCTGCTGGCCAGGAACGAACGGGGCCCCACCAGAACGTCTACACACCCCCGAGGCATCGACCACACGAGGCCCGAGGTTCCAACCACATCCGACCAGAAACATGCGCTCAAACTCAAGTCTCTCGCCGACAAGCCTGAGGAGGCGAACGTTGAGCTCGCGCATCCCCGCGCCACTCTTGAGGTGCCCACGCAGCGCCTGAAGGGGGGGCCGCCCAGGGATGTCAACAACAACGTGGGTCAGGCGCCCAGGGCACAGGATGCCTGAGGAATCAGCGGGCCAACAAAGGCCGAGGTGCGAGCGCGCGAAGACCGCCACCCCCGCCCCGGCACGGCCAGCCCCGACAGGGAGGGATGGAGAGGAAAGCATTTTCCATCCTACGGCCCCCGCAGAGCTAGCCCGTTCCCCCTCACGGCCCTGGGTGAAACCGATCTCCTGCGCCAACAAGATGCTCGCCGAAGACTCTCGGAAACGTGAACGGAGAGCCAGCCAGCTGTTGCCTTTGCATGTTTCAAAACAGCTGTCCTGGCCAACGTGTTCTGAGGACGGGGGAGACGAAGAGGGGGGAAGCGGAGGTGGAGCAGGAACTCCGAATTTTGACCGCCTAAGGCCACAACAGAAAGGTACGCGCTGGCTAAGCTCGCTGCATGACGCGCCGCAAAGAGGCGCCGAAACGCAACCCTCCTTCTTGACAGCTGCGAGAATGGAGTCACTAGTGGCGTCGTCCATCTCATCGATCTCCATGTCGCCGGGGACGCTGATGGACTCGCCACTGAGCCGCTCGTCTGAACCATGGTCCCCGCGACCGTCGCTGGGACCTGGAGGGGCACCACTGCCACTGCCTGCCGCGAAGGGGGAGGCAGCAGGCTCGGGTGCTTCCTTGACCCTGATGCTCTCGCCGAGGACCTCGGCGAACATCTTGCAAACGTCAGACTCCATGAAGGCCTTGAGCGACTCCTTCTGAGGGTGCCTGTCGAGGACATTGGGGCCCACGCCCAAAGACACCGTAGGAGCCAAAGGCAAGGTGGAGACCAGCTCACGATTAAGAACAGCAGTCTCCTCATCATTGGCTTTGATATGTGCTCGCAATAGGTCAATATGTTCCTCCGCCGCGCGCGGAATCCCTAGCTGCTCGGACACGTTTTGCTCGAGTTTGGCATTTTTTGCCATGGCCCGAATGAGTCGGTGTCCGATGTTCGTGTGTTGTGTGAGCTCGGGTTTGGTCGCGGCCAGCAATCTCGTATCTTCGGCCAGCTGCTTGTCCAATGACTCACACGCATCCCTTCCAAGATCACCTGGTAGAGCTTTGCACGAGACCAGGGAAGCCTCGAGCTGCATGATCTGTTCCTCGAACTGTCGGACGCCGACGGCTCCTTCGGATCAGTTGCCGTGGTGGACGTGGGCGGCGGAGAGCCGTTCCCGCCGCCTTTCGCCACAATGGCGCCAAACTTCTTCTGCAACGCATCAAGCTTCTGCTGGAAAGGGTCACGTCCTCCGAGTGCACGTTTCTCGCGCTGAGGGGGGCGCCCACGCCCAGCAGCAACAGCCCGCTCACGAGCACGGCGAGCAACATCGGGTGGCGCCTTCTCGCAGCATTTGCACAGTATCCTGGAAGCCACTTCGTGCTCCCCCCACACAGGCTGCACGCCTAGGTGGTTGTGCGGGGGCCCGCCAAAACTTTTCCAACATCGCCTCCGCCATTGGCCATGTGTGGCCCGTGAAGGGCCAATCGAGGTACGAAGTGCTCCGGCAGGAGCTCACTCGAGGGCTGAGATCCCTCAAACTGAATGATGCCGAGCCAGAAAGAACAGCGAGAGCGACTGCCGCTCTGAAGATTGCTCTCGCAAGCCCAAAAACTGTGGACCAGAACGGCTCCACGCCTTGAGCCAGAATGGCTTGGCTACGGACTCGAGGAGGAAGGAGGGCGGAGGATGAGTATGCAGGAGGGTCAAGACGCAACCGACCAATCAACCAACCAACCAACCACTTATGCACACACCGATCTACCCACTCGCCCACCCAGCAGCTCACCCGCCCGGCCGTCCAACCAACCAACCAGCGGGTCTCGCCAGTTTTTTGTTCGCAGGCGCTTCAGGAGACAACTCACGTCGAATGTAAACGTGGAACTGACATGTCTGATTCTTCCAGCTGCGCTGGCGGGCAACATGCTTCGGCACGATCAGCCACACAAGACGACAAAGTCAATGACACCGCGGTGTGAAGGCAGATGTGCTTTGACAAACTGCACAAAGCCTACACCAAAACAAAAACGGACTATTCGAAATGTTGGTTGGTGAGCGTAGCGCAGATCGTGCTGCGCGTTGCACTGGGCAAGAGACCGCGTGGAGCCCTGACTGCATGCTTTAAGCAGGGCTCTTAGTCGTATAAGCGGCTTCGTGGAGCGCTGTGCGCGACATCAGAAGAGGATACCTTGGACTAAAAGCGGCCCTCAGCCTAACATGACAGGCTCCACCAAATTATATACCACCGTGCATTTGCACTGAATGAAACCCTCTAATGGTGTGAGAGGACCGCGCCGCATCCCCGATGCATCGCCGATGCATTGGCGATGCATTGGCGACCTCGGCGATGCATCGGCAACGCCAGTGGAGAACATCGGGCCCCTCATCGCTCCGCATCGGCGATGCGGCGCGATCCCCCACCCCATCTACTCCGACCCCATCTGGGAGGCCTGGAGCAATGGAATGCCATCGGGCACTGCACATAATTAATATGAGAACAGAGGCCGTTCCCGCCCCCCCCCTGCTGGACTTGAAGAAAGCAAAACGCCATGAAAATAAACATGTCGGGGGTCCGCGCAGATTTCCTGGATCTGCGCTGGACCCCTCTCCCTGGCGGCGCCTCCGGCGCCGCTCCTGGCCTGCTCCGCGCGCCAGGGAGGGGTGTCCAGCGCCGATCCAAGAAATCCGCGCGGAGCTCCGAACCATTCCGGTGGACACCTACGATGAGAGACCGTGCTGCAAGAAATCCTTGCAGGACCTTCTCCGTCGATCTTTGAGGGCCCTGAGTTGCCCTGCAGCTCCTGTGGGTCCCTGGGACCATCGGGAGGTGGGAAACTTCTGAGGGGCACCTGCCGGCAGGCCGACTTCTCATCTGATGTGCCTATTGTGTGCTCATGGCGGCTTTCCCCCCTCAGATTGACAGACTGCGCGCGGAATGGACGCCTCCGACTGGGCGCCCCCCCACGCCTCCGCCGACGCCGCACGCACGGGATCGCCCCGGTGTCGCGCCGCTCCAGGCGGGCGTGCAAATTACGCCGCCAACAACGATGACGACGACGACGACGACGACGACGACGACGACGACGACGACGACGACGACGACGACGACAACGGACCGACGGACCGCCAAACCGACGGACCGCCGACAGACCGACCGACCGACCGACGAACCGACCGACCGAGAAAGCGACCGACCGACAGACCCACCGACCGGCGACGGCGACGAAGACGGCTGCGACGACGATGGGCCCCCGTCGCGCCGAAATGGTGTGGCGAGCGCGCGGCGCTGTGCCTCCCGCCGGAGGCCCGCCCCATGGGAAATCCAAGAGATACTAATACCGCCACGGTTCGGGGGCGACGATAGGGGCGAATAGCCCGGTGGAGAGCAATACATGTACTCAAGGGCGCCGATGGTCCATGCCTTCGGCGAGGCTTCTGGGCTTGGGCTGTTCGCCCCTATCGTTGCTTCCGAACCGCTACGGCAGGTTCGTGGTGTGACGACCCCGGCGTTGGTTTCTGACACCGCGTGGATCGGTCAAGCTTGGACGATCCACGGCGTTTCAGTCGCCAACTCGTTCCAGGTTGACCGATTCTGGGCCACCGGTGGCGTTCAACCTTGAAAGCCCGCGCTGATGTCGTCGACTAGCCGACAAGACACGAACCTACTGTACCCCTGGACCTCGTCCGGGCTGCGCTCTGATCAGACTCTCGAGGCGAACCCAGCCGTGGCGACGAGGGCCTCTCAGGAGGGCCCAAGGAGGCGAAACATCTAGGGAAGGGTGGGCGGTATCGGAGCCTCTTCCTGCTCTGACGCCGGAGGCCCGCCTCAGCCGCCGGACAACGCCACCTTTGCCGCGGCGCCGCGCTGCAGCGAGCGGAGGGGGCCGTCATGGAAGGAGACGTCCAGCGACAGGGCCGCTGGGGCGCCACTCCCAGAGGGCCCGAGGTGCACCCGGGTGGTGCGCAGGTCCTCTGCGGGCGCGCCGCGCACAAACCCTCTCGCGGCGTGAACAAAAACCACGACGGAAGGTTTTACACTACTTTCGGCCTCTCGGGGCCCACGTGGGGCCTCGGGACCGTTGGACCGTCAAAAAACGGCTCGGGATGAAAAAACGGTACCGTGGAATGGGTCGAGACCTCTGGGGGTCGACGTTATGACAAAATCATGACGTCGGAGGTCTGGATACCAGGGGGATGCGCATCATGGCCCAAGACTTCCCTGAGATCCCGGCGTCGCAATTGCTGTTCACTCTCGGCGTTTTTGGCCCATGTCGGGCCCCAGGACCATCAGATATCGATCGGGCTCAAAATGTCGCAGACATATAATGTTTTGCAGTCAACCCGCATAGTAAGGACGAGCAGCTTTCCAAGGCTACCCTTGCATCCTTCCTCTTCGGCCAACCCTTGGCTGCTTTCGCTGGCCGCGACATGGCCTTCCAAGGCCCTTGCATCCTCATCGCGCGCCCTCATGGTGTACGGGCTGACTGGAACTGGGGGCTCGGGCCGGGATCTCTCGCGACGCTGCGGCTTTCCTGCAGCGCCGCGTCTCGGCTGGGGGCCCGGGGCGCGCAGAGTCCTCGTGCGACCACACGGGGGGCCGGACAGAGGGCCTCTCCGACGGGCCTGGAGCCAGGCAGCGGCCCGAAAGCCAGAGCCCCTCCCGAGCCCAGCGTGGTCCAGGCAGGCAGGACGCCAGCGAGGCATCCGATCCGAGGAGCCGGCGGCAAGAGCGTGGGGCCAAAACAGCAGCGTGGGTGACGGGGGCGTCTCGAGTCCGAAGTGGTCCATGTTTCAGCGTCTTGCGCGCACGAGTGGGTCTCAGGGAACGTAGTGAAGAAGACAACGGCTTACACTCGTCCATCGTGCAATTGGCCAGGTAATCTGCTCGAACGTTCCATGCCCGCTGCTGCCAGCAAATCATATCGTCTATGCTCCGTGCCTCCCTTCGATCCGCGACCCTCCCTCGCTATGGAACAAGAAAAGACCATGAGATCCGAGAGATGTCATGGCCCCGGCGATAATATTTGCCCCCCCTGGTCCTCAGCCCACCTTAGAAGAACATGCGCGGGCATAAACATAAACTTTCGTAGCTCCGCGCGGATTTCTTGAATCGGCGCTGGGCCCCGTCCCTGGCGCGCGGAGCACGCCAAGGGCAGCGCTAGAGGTGCCGACAAGGGTTTAGGGGTCGACCCAAGAAATCCGCGCGGATCCCCAGATGTTTATACGTATGCCACTTTTTCCTCAAGTCCAGCGGAGGAGGCAGGCGGGAACGGCTTCTGTTGTTATGCTACTACTACGTAATTCAATGCAGTGCCCGATAGCACTCCATGTCTCCAGGCCTACCATAAGGGCGTCGGAGTAGATGGGGTCAGGGGATCGCGCGACATCGCCCATGCATCGCCGATGTGGCGCAATGTGGGGCCAGACGTTCTTCTTCGAATGGTGTCCACCTCCCTCTTGGGCTTGGAAGTGGCCGGTGATTCTGAACTGGTTGAGACTTTAACGGGAACTGGAAACGACAGGGCCGTTTTTGTTACCAGCTCCGTTTTGCCGTTTTTGTTGCGGGTTCCGACGCCGTTTTTTTACCGGTTCCGTCGCTGTGTTTTGACCAGTTCCGGCTCCAGTTCCAATCCTGGAGCCGTTTTTGTTACCGTTTCCAGTCGCCGTTTTTTTGCCGTTTCCATTTTCAAGGAACATTTTTTGGGGAAACGGTGAAACATGATCGACCCACGAACCCGGAAAGGAATATAGAAATGTAAGGCATGGCGACGTTTCAAAGACACCTGAGTGGGCGACGGGCAAATGCAATGCTGAATGTATCGATCTTGATGTACTGTGCCGAGGGCTGTGCTGTGCTACCCCGTGCTGATCTGCGATGTGCCATGCCGCGAGTGTGCTCTATATAGCGTTGTGGATCAAGTCCTCCCTGACATCCGAGTCCTGACCGAACTGATCTGGATCTTAAGCTCGAGCTGCCTAAGCAGATGGTAGCTGCCCCAGAACTAACCAACAGAGGGGACATGCCAGGAGGACGCGCCGCGGAACGTCCCAAGGGACGCGCCAGGCGACGTGCCAGGGGACGTGCCATGGGGACGCACCGCGGGACGTGCCAAGGGGACGCGGTACGGAACGTGCCAATGGACGTGCACCACGCGACGTGCCAGGGACGCCTCCGCGAAGTGCCAGGGGACTCCCACGGAACGCACCAAAGAACGTGCAAAAATACAAGCAATGTGAGTGTATCGATCTTGACGGACAATGCCGGAAGCTGAGCTGTGCGGGTCCGTGCTGAACTGCGATTTGCCTGCCGCTACGACCGTGCTCTAGATATAGCGTTGTGGATCGAGTCCACTTTGCGTCCGAGTCCTGACCGAACTGATCTGGATCTTAAGCTCGAGATGCCTGAGCAGATGGTAGCTGTCCAAGAACTAATCGACAGGGGGACATGCCAGGAGGACGCGCCGCGGAACGTCCCAAGGGATGCACCAGGCGACGTGCCAGGGGACGTGCCAAGAGCACGCACCGCAGGACGTCCCAAGGGGACGCGCTACGGAACGTGCCAATGGACGTGCACCGCGCGATGTGCCGCTCCGCGGAACGTGCCAAGCAACATGCCAGGCTGCAATGCTAAGGGTATCGATATGAATGTACCGTGCCGAGGGCTGTGCTGTGCCTGGGCGAACTGGATACGTGAAAACACGCGTTTCGCTCAAGACGTTCTCAGCACATCCTCATGCTAGACATCCGCCTGGGCAACCTGGACACGTGCAAACAAGCGTTTCGATCGAGACTTCCTCGACACATCCTCATGCTAGACGTCCGCCTGGGCGACCTGGAAACGTGAAACCAAGCCTCTGGTTCGAGACATCCTCAACAAAGCCTCATGCTAGACATCTGTCTGGGCAACCTGGAGGCGTGACACCAAGCGTCTCGCTCGAAACATCCTCAAGACCTGGGCACGTGAAAACAAGCATTTCACTTGAGAGATCCTCAGAATTCGGGTCCCCAGGAGAGGACAATCTATAACACAAAACAAGCGTTTCGCTCGAGACATCCTCAACAAATCCTGAAAACCAAGCGTTTCGCTAGGGACATCCTCAATTTTTAATTCGCCGGCCCTCTTCCCACTCGTTATTTATCGCAAAAGAAATTCGCCGGCCCTCTTCCCGTCAAACCCGGGGGGAAACCATCTAAAAGAGAACCCTGGGCTCAAGC